TCCCAGGGATGCAAGGAGGAGCATTTAACTACCTGCACCCATCCTGCGTTGGTCAGAAGTTGCCCTATGAGGGGTTAAAATCCCTCTTCCCAGGTTGGCAGGTGCTCCCGTGTGAAATGGTTATGATGCGGGAGAAGCCTGAGGCAGAAGGCAAGGCATCCCTGCAGGGTGGCTAGGGTGAGGGCCCTCACATTACAGACGCTGAGGCTCACATAGACAGCAGTGAGAGGATGTGAGGTGGGCGGCATACTGTGGCCAATGTATTATATTAGGTAAGTAGAAAGGGATGCCGCTTTAAAAAAAAAAAAAATAGCGTCAAAGAAACAAAACGCTAATACAGAAAAATGCTGGAGATTTGCACGGATCTGGAATGATCCCTTTCCTTCACCCCCCTCGGAACGAACTATTCTGTCTGCACTGCTAGCTTCAATCAGAGTTCTTGCTAAAGGTCCTGTCCACAGAAAGTCAACTTTGCCCCGTTCTCATTCGGTGCTCCTTGCTCACTCATCCCCGTCACTCTTTAGTTATATGTATTTGTATGTATGTGGTTCAAAAATTTAATTACAAGCTCCTTGAGAATCAGGGGGAGGCATCTGTTCTTTCATTGTATCGACTCCTTTGGGCCGAATTGGGTTTTCTTGCCTACATCCCAAACTTTCACACCAGCTAGGAAGGACACAGATCGGTATTGAGTCTCTGTGTATTCGTTCTTGATTTCCGATTGTGGGTTTGAATTGTGCAATCTTGTGTTTGCAAATGCTGGTTTGAATAACTCGCCACTACCTCAGGTGCTGGGATGGTAACTCATTTGCAAGGCTAACTGGCACATTTCAGAGCGAGCTCTAAATCAAGAGACTTTCACAATTTCCCACTGGAAGATTGTAACATGGTATCTGTTGTTGGTGCAGAGTTTCAAGTTTTAGATTAAAGGTTCCTCATATTTTCACTACCTCTCTTAGTTTCATCTGCTACCCCATTGAGTAAGTTCCTGTTTTGCAGTACTGCAAAAAAACAACATAAAAACATTTACAAATTTTCTAGCTACATCTTAAAGTGCAATTTTCATGTGATTGTGAAATACAAGTTTTAGGAGCAACTGGAACTTACTCCATCAAAAAAAAAAAGACAAAGCATAAATGCATTTTACAAAACTTAAAATGTTGAACAAAATAAATCCTTTGCGAGTCATTCCATTTTTGGTGCTCCTACCTATCTTGCTATCTCAATAGTTAATGCTTGATAATTTAGAATAAAAAACAAAAACAAAAGATAACAGGTGACAAAAATTAAAATAATGCCTGAAAAAGTGTGAAAACAATAATTTCTGTTCTGCATGTCAGAAGTTCCAAGCTGAAACTCACGTGATTTGCAGTTTATCTATTATGAAAAGTTTTTTTTTTTTTAAATGCTCTACCTCAATTTAAAGACTGAAGGAGGATCCTTTAAATTTTCTTCTGGAGAAAGATTTTGATTTTTGCCATCAGATTCACATTTCTAGAAGGACTAGGAAACAAATTTTAACGGATAAAGATGAATGGGCACTTCCCCCAGAAATTGTTCTGGAACTTATCTTGTATACATTTTTATAAACAAACCGATAGAGGGAGAGCACGAGAAAATATTCAGGTTTACAGACAGCACTGACTTCTTTTGGGTCTGAAACGCTAAGACAATGGGGATGCGCTGTAGGAAGATTTAGTGGGGCTCAGAAAGACTGAGAAGAGTTGGGAAATGCTAACGCGAGCATAATTGATAAAATCCGCACTTAGAAAAATCAAGGTGATTTCAATCAATCAGTCGTGACCCAGGAAAGCGACCTAGGGCTCTGTTCACTGTTTCCCCAAGCACTGGCTTAATGTGCTGTTGTGTACTCCAAATCCCTGCAATGCTGGGCCACAATTAAGGAAAAATCCTGCTTTTATAACAAGTTATTACTTCACAGCACATAGATTATCATCTGCAGTCCTGGTTGCCTTATCCAAAGATCCGTGCTGCCTTTCCAGAGAAAAAGCAACTCCAATGGCCAATAATAACGGTCACTCAATTATACAGCCCCTACTGTATACGAGGCCCTGTTCCACACAACCACCTTGGGAGGCAGATACTACAATCCCCACATTACAGATGAGGAACTGAGGTGTAGGGATAGTAGGTAACTGGCTGAAGGTCACCCAGTAAGTACTGGAGCCAGGATTCAAACACAGGCAGTCAGGCTCCATGCTTTCTGTTTCTGGAATTCCATCCTAACTCTCTAGTATAGACTTCCAAAAATGAACTGCCGCAGAAAGAATGAACCACCACCTCAAAGTGAATTTGGAAATGAGAATGCCCTCCGAGTCAAAGGACCAACTGAGAACACCCTCCACCAAAGGTCTACCAAGTCACCTTAAGGAGACTGAACAACTCCCAGGTCGGCAAACTCCTCCACAACCACATAAGGGTACTGGCCTATCCAGAGAGGCAATGTGTTAGTCTCCAGTGGGCACCGGTGAGCCATGGGAGCAAGGAAAAAGCAGTGTCCCAGAGTCAAGGACCAGCTGTGCTAGGGAGCACCGTCCAGTATGAGCACCCAGAGGCTAACTGAAAGAGCATCAGTCCTCCTAGGAAGCAAATCAAGCAGGCCTCCAGCCTGAGAATCCCTGATGTGATCTATCTTGTGTAATTTGGTTACAAGAAAGTGGCTGGGGCAGGCTATGCAAATGTCCTGTCTACTAAAATTCATTATTGGTGTTTTGGTGAATAGACTTCCATGTATATCAGGGTGAATCAGCTTCTTTGTATCTGATTGGCTCTGGAGCACGGGAAGGTATGCATTTCTAGAATCTAGCCCTGCAAGTCCAGGGGCCAGATTTGGAACCAGTTTTCTCCAAGGCACATGGCACCTTGTAAGTCTCTGGGTAACCAACCCGTCTCTTTCCCTAGTGATGTGACTTCACGATACACACCACCAAGAAAAATTAAAGAAGACATCCTAAGAACAAATATGGGGCTTTCAGGTCTGGAAGGATAAAGGCAGTGCTATTATATGTCTGAAGTCCATACTAGTTTGAAAGACAGGTTGGGAGGAATGTACAATTGTTGGCCGATATTTCTGGAACACTGAAACTTCAAAGTAACCTTTAAAAATTAAAGAAGTTGTTTTTTGATTCATAGGTGCACACTGGTAGATACAAAGATCATTCCAGGGAGATGAAAATGCAGTCCCTTTGGTGTGTGTTGGGTACCGGTTAAATTCAGAGTATGGAGCTGGGCACTTCAGAGAAAACATGACAAGCAAGAAGTGGCAAAGGCCCTGTTCTCTGCCCGCATGTTGTTGGCAGTCTAGTAGAAGGGTAAAACAAAGAGCCAAAAGTTGCCCTGGAAAACAGGTTACTATGGGTGCAACAAAGGAGACAGAGCTCACGTCTGTTTCAAAGAGTGGCGTGGGCTTCACCAGCTGTTCCCCAAGGCCATAAGAAGTCTTTTCTGGTTTGCCCAGCCCTGTGCTGTCAGGATCACTGGCCACAGAAATGCCCTCAGTCTTTACCTTGACTCCTGACCACACTGGCCTGGAGTCAGCTGAGTATCTGGGGGAACTCAATTTAAGCAGTTGTTTCTTGCCAGGTGTTCTCTTCTTGAATGAACAGTGACTCATCTTCAGAAAAACAGTATCTCCACCTCACTCCTAAGTCTGTCCCCTTCATCTAAGGAACATTTAAAACAATCCACACAATCAGAAAGAACAGAAAAGTTAGAGGGTTTCACTCAACATTCCGGACACAGCCATTTCCGTTTCAGGAGCACTTCTAGCCTGTCCCCGGTATGTCTGAAGGAGCAGGCTCCCTGGGCTAAAAGGGTGGCCGGAAAACCCCCTCCACAGGGCAGGCAAGGAACAGAATGTGCAGGTAAATCCAGAGTCAAGAGTCTAGGGGTGCATGCCTTCAGATGGATCCCAGAGGCCCAGGCAGTTTCAAAGACCGGAAAGATTTAAGAGTGGTAAGCAGGCAAGTTGCGAAAGCGAAGGCCTTCAAATCTGCTAATTGCGGTTACTTGTTGATGGCAGGTGGTGTAGTAAGAATCTGGACACTCTTTGGGAAGGGGTTCCCTCTCCTGAACCCCACCCTATTCTTGCACAAAGTCAGCACAGAAAAGGGCTGAGGAAGTAAAACAAACTTAATCCTCTCTTAAGATTACTGTTGAAGTCTTTCCACAAGTTTGTTTGGTTAATCTTGCTCTTATCCACTGGGAAGAAAACTGACAAATCCGGGACTTTTTTTTTTTTTTTTTTTGTAGGGATAGAACCTGTTTTACGAAGAGGGGAGTAGTTAAGTAAATAGTTTGGCAATTCAGCTCTGCCTTCACAATTTCAATTTCGAATGTTCTGTAGAATGGGGATAAAAGTCCTATTTAGAGTTTACAGTAAGCACTGTATGAAAAGCCCTTTAGCACGCTGCCTGGCCCGTATCAAGCTGACAATACCAGGCTGCACTTATTTTAAACCAAACTCATTGGCAGTTAAGGGAAACAAACAAACAAACAAACTGACAGCCCGGAATCATCCCTCTGTGATGTGAATAAATATATTTAGATGTCCTTTGGCTGCGCTTTTCGGACCAGTCGAGGCTCCGCAAGCCAAGAGTCGAGGCTCCGCAAGCCAAGAGTCGCGCCGTAGCGCACTGATTCGTTCGCCAAGAATTCTGGCCCACACTTCTTAAGTTCGCAGCCGCACGGCCCCTGCCCCTCCCGGGGGCCGCCCCTGCCCCTCCCGGGGACTGTCCCCGAGCTACGGCGGCGCGGGAGCGAGCCGGGTCCGTGCCGCCTCCCCCGCAGACGCGCGGCCCGCCGCGTCCACCCGGAACGCCGGCCCCGCCACCCGCCGGCGGTCCACCTGGCCGAGCCGGGGCGCAGGCGGGAGCGCACGGAGCAGCGGCGGCGGGCGCAGCGCGGGCCAGGCGGGCGCTGAGGGCCCTGTCTCTCTCCGGACTCGCCCTCCCCGGGTCGTGCGGACGCGCACGGCTCACCTGCCAGGCTCGGCGGCACCGCGGCGGCCACCAAAAGCAGCAGCGGCAGCAGCAGCGGCGGGGGCGACGGGGTGGGCGGCGCGGGCCGCGCGGGGCGTCCGTCCCGGCTGCGGGGGGGCATGGCTCGGCGGCCGCGACCTCCCCTGGGTTGGACGAGGTAGCTGTTGCTGGAGCGGCTCTCGAGCCGGCAGCGGGGCGCCGCGTGTCCGATGTCTGGGCGTCCTTACTCTGCCATTAGCCCTGCCGGTTTGGGGCTTTTAGGGGCGAGGAAGCCTCACGTGGCCTTGGGAACAACCTTCGCCCCGCTGGGCAAGGCGGGTCCTTTCTGACCCTCTAGCACCCTGGGGGCTGGGCTGAGAAAAGTTCCCCAGCTGCGCTTCTGCGATCCGGCGAGGACACGTGCCACTTTGTCCGCGCTCGTCGGGCAGTTTTGCGGCCCCAGGTTTGAGCAAACCCGTTCGCGTCAACACCGCTAGCCTCTGTCGCCAGGGTCGGCCACTGGGCCACTCGTCTGTATCGGCGGGGATGAGGCACCCTGAGCGGCGGTGACATGCATGCCCCTGCCTACGCGCAGCTCTGGTTCTTGGCCACTCTGCAGTGGGCTTCACGGGTCCCTTATCCCTCAGTGATTACTGCTCCTCCATCTCAGGCTGTGTAACCTAAATCCATTTGCTGTAGCCCAAGACTTCCCAGCCTTTGCTTTTCTCTTCATTGGCGGGAGCCACCACGAGACTGATTCAGACGGAGCTGAAACTAGATCTATTTCTGAGCCCCTGGGAAGTCCCCATTTCTGTGCTGGGTAGGTTGACATTGTGAAGTAGGCAAAACTATGCCTTGGGTGACATTGTGAAGTTGGCAGAGCGTGCCCTAGGTGACATTGTGAAGTAGGCCAAAGGCATTTTTTTTTCCAATAAGCATTTATTGAGCCCATCTTGTGTGCCAGGTGCCAGGGATATGAAGACCATTGAGAGCATGACCTCCCGCAGGTGGGAGGGGACAGAGCCATATAAATAAACAGGTGCCCCATTAGTGCTGTCATAGGGCTATGGCGAAGGTACAGCGTGGGAACCCAGGACCCAGGACGGGACCAGCCACTACTACAGAGCAGGGGGGCTAGGCACCCCACTCTTCTCTCCTGGTCTTTCTTCCAAGCTTAACTGAAGTGTCAAGGGGAGATGGAAAGGGAAGAGGAGAAGCACTTTTCCCAGAGGGCGAAAGAGATTTATAATTGTTGGAAAAGATCTAGAACAATTACATGGAATTTCTGGGCAAATTGTTGAACACAAGTCCTAAGTCATTTTGTGTGGAGACAGCACCTATTACAGTGTCTGGATGATAATATCACTTAATGAATGAAGGAACTGAGGACATTGTAAAAATTGCACATTTTTCTTCAAGTTAGAAAATTAAAGTCTAGGAAAATCATGTTGGGAAGAGAGCTATATTAGGACATTCAAGGAAGTTGTGCCACCCCAGATATTTAAGTCATGCTACCTTCTACCATTACTAACCCTTCCAATCCAAGGAGCCAAGTGTTTGGATGTGAGCATGTATATAAAAATACCTGATGTGAGCTATGAGGCACTCATTCATCTCTTATGTAGTCATCAAATATTTGTTGACTTCATGTTCCAGACATAGAGTAATAAACAAGATGGACAAAGCCCCTGCTCTCACAAAGCTTGTATTTCAGTGGGAGAAGCAAATTATGCAAATAGACAAATTCATTCGATCAGGGTTTCTCACTTAGCATTGCGACATTTTGGCCCATACAATTCTTTGTTGTGGGGGGTTGTCCTGTGCATCCACTGGCCAGTATCCACTAAATGCCAATTATCACCCCTCCCTCCAAGTTGTGACTATTTCAAATGACTTCAACACTACCCAGTGTTCCCATAAGGGGCAAAATTGTCCTCAGCTGAGAATCACTGGATTGGATGATGATAAATCTTGCCTTCTTTAAATTGGTGGGGTTTACAAGTCTGGGAGGGAAATGAGCAGCAAAACTCACACCAAAGCTGAGGGGAGGAGGGCCACAGAAGATGTGGACTAAGAAATGGTTTTATCACTTTTCTAGTTAGACGTGTGTAGTTTGGGGCTGCTTACCATCCATTCATTACCTTATTCCTGATACTACTTTTTCCTGGATCTGGACTCTCCTGGTTTAGAAGTTTCAGTGAGCCAGGGAAGAAGCATGTTTCCACCAAGAGCCACAATAGTAGTTTCATTGAATTGGAATTTGAAATTGCTGCCTGGTCTTCACTGGACTTCTTTGGGAAAAAAAAAAAAAGGGCATGAATAGGATTATAGTGCTGGTTAGAGTGATTGAGCTTGACAACGGAATGGAAGTACAGCTACACAGTAGTAGGAGGGAGTGGTTGAAGGAGCTCAGGGAAGTTTCTGGTCTCACCATGGCCTACCAAAATGATTAGTGAATGTGTTGGCCCCTCACCTCAGCAGCACCACCAGGGACTAGGGCTCTTCGGCCCAATAGATACACAACCCCAACCAGCTGAGATGTTGGCCCCAGGCTATAGCTGGGCGACCAGTTATAGAAACAGAGACAGTGACCTCTGTATTTCTTTTCTTGCTGTGACCTATGATGGATTCAAATGTTACAGTTCCAGAACGAAATGTACATAATGTCAATCTATTTCTTTTTCAAAAGGTATACTTAACATTCAAACACTTGTCCACGGATGGTAGAGATTTTAGGGTGTCAAATTTTAGATACCTCAGTCTCATTTGGGCCAAGTCCTTAATATCCTTTGCCTCCTCCATATCTTCCCATTTCCTTGACATTGACCTTGGTTTTGGGGGGCCTATGCATTGACCTGGGGCTGGATAAGAGGCATCTATCTACTCTGTGAGTCATCCTCTCGCTTGGTGGTCTCCACTGACATGTGGTTTATCTCTTCCGGTCTTTTATCGGTGGTTCTTGGCCTTGGGTCTAGATTCTTTTTTTTTTTTTTTTAGTTAGGGTCATACTAGGTACTATGACAAACTCCAAAAATTCAGTGGGTTAATACAACCGAAGTTTATGTCCAGCTCATATCTCTGTTCGATGCGGGAGTTCGTAATATGTATGTGGCTTTCCTTCATTTAGAAATGTAGAAGCCCCGCTTCCTTTCATCTTGTGGTTCCACCATGCCCTAAGGCAGATGTTCCCAAACTTTCTTGGTAAACAGTGTTCCCTAGAGTCTCAGTCATATATTCTTGGGGCTGCAGACCAAAAGAAATATCTGATGGTTCCTTTTATTTAGTAGTTAGGGCCAAACAATTTAATAATAGTAGTTTGTTCCATGTCCTGGGACGGCACTATGTTTTCTTCAAAAATCTATGATATCCCAAATATACCCTTCAAAGTTCATTATGGTGTGTTCTACTGATATTACTATTTCCTGTGAATATTTAAGATATTCTAGGTACGCCTTGTGAATTCATTATGGTTGGCAAACTGGATGCAGAAACCAGGACCCCAGGACCTTGGAGTCTTTTCTTTCAGCCAGAAGAAGGGGAAAGTGTATGGGGAACACACTGCTTCTTTTTAACCATTTTTGCTCGTATTCCATTGACAATATCTAGACATTTTGCCATATTTATATGCCAGAGATGCTGGGAGATGTGGCCAGTGGCTGGAACATCACCTCTCCATAGGGAAACAAGATTTTTAGTAGGCAGCTAGCTGTTTCCGATACCATTGGCAACCTCACCATCCCAACCTGGATTTTCCACTGGGTCCTTTGGTTCATTCTCAGGTCTCTCTGATCCCTGCAGTGTGGCAGTAGGGACTCATAGATACTCTAGTCTAGTGTGTCAATCAGTGAGCCTATCCACGTGTTCACCTCCCCAGACCCTTCCCCCAGCCGCTACTGTACAACTCAGGTCCAAATGGGGACATATAACTCCCTTACAAGGTTTCCAAGATCAGGAGCTACATTCCGGAAACCTTAAACATCATCTCCTCTGCTCTGGTAATTCTAGACCTGTCTTGAGTTTCTATTACCAAATATTTCCACATACCACCCCACCCATCAAATAGGCGACTCACCCCCTGGGGGGAAGGGTGGTGTTGGCCCTTGCAACAAGCCAGTATGCAATTCTCTTATCAGCTCTTCAGACTTTTTACTTCTTTGGGTAGGAACTAATTCAACATTATTACAATTCTTATTGCAATGTGTTATTCTTGAATAAGCCGGTTGCCCTTTTATTGCAATGTGTCTTTCAATTTTCCAAACCAAGTTTTTGAATATTTTAAAATATTTTCCTTTCCCAGACGCAGAGATCTTACAATTTTTTGCCTTTGAAGACTATGGTCTATGTCTACTTGAGACCTCAACAGCCACACGTTTTACTCTTTGATCTTTCAATATTTTCATTTTTCCTCCCTTGAGCATTAAGCCTTAGATTCTTGGAATAAATAGAGTGATGGAAGGTTTACTAGATTAAACAGTTTCTCAGAAGAAAAATGTGTAGGGTAATGTTTTAGCTTATGATCCAACTATTCTGTATATTTACGTCTATAACTAATTTTTCTTTGGTATTCTTTCCCTCCATCGTTGTGTGTAGGTTGTGTTGGTTGTTAAACTTACCAATTGGTCTATAGGTGTCAGAATAGAGAGTTTAAATTGCTACAGAACCAAAGAAAGGGCAGATATTCCCCAGAAATCCTGGGCTTGGGCTTGATGCCTGTAGAGCTCATTTTGATTGCTTAGAACACAGTTCTGTACTGTTTGCCCATCCTTTCTTCTACTCACTTGCCTGCCCTTTATATAAGCTGCCACCCATTATAATTTCCAGACTGCAAGTGTCTTGTAAATTGGGTACACAAAAGAGGGGCTGTCCCGGTCAGTGATTTTAGTAAGTAAGGTCACTGACATGTCTTAGCTTTAGGGTCATGGCATGCAGGTGAGGTGGACAGCAGGAGACGAGAGATAAGAGAGAAGTTTCTGTACAAGTTGAATACTGATTCAGTGGCTTGTTATTATTATTTTTTCTACAGATGACAAACATGAACTTTTTACCCTGCTGATAGGCATTTTATCCCCACTTTTCCTTCCAAAGAGGCCGAAAAAGTCACTCCTAAATACTTTCAGGGCGCCGAGCATTTTCTGCATTGTTTAAGGATGTAATTTGGTGCCTGACAGCTCTTTCTTCAAAATGTTTCTAAATCTCTTTTTCTGCCTCTTTCCTAAATTAAGTGGCTACATCCTGGAGTGGTTACCACTGGCTTCCTCTACTTATTTTTTTCTCTACTGTTAATGTTTTAGCATCATCTTCATTCTACAGACAGAAGTATAAATGCCAAATAAAAACAGTTGCAAACAGAACCATTTCTGTGGTGCCTAACCTTGACTGTAGATGGGAAATAGTCCTGCGATAAATGTCCCTG